CCCCCCCCCCCGAGGCCCGCGGTGTCGCGTCACGGCCCCACCTTCCTGCCCGCCTCGTTGTTGTGCAGGTTCATGAGGCGCCGCGCGTTCTTCTTGATCTCGCGCGCGTCCACGAAGCGCCGGGAGAAGTCGATGCCGTAGCGCACGTCGGCGGAGCAGCCGCCCCACTTCCAGCCCTCGGCCTGGTTGTAGTAGCCCTGCTTCTCGCGGTCGCAGCCGCAGTTGCTCAGGTTGCCCTGGCTGCAGGCGGCGGTGACGGCGTGGGCCACGCCCGCCGCGGTGATGGCGTAGGTGAAGGCGGCCTCACGGCTCCCTGCGGGCAGAGACGGGGGCGGACGGTGAGGCCCCCAGCCCTGAGCCGGCTGGGCTCAGCGGACGGAGCGCTGGGCCTGGGGCCACCAGCTAGGGGTTGGCTGTGTGACCCTGGGCTTGTCACTTGCCTTCTCCGAGCTTCTGACTCAGCAGAGTGGGGCTGATGGAACCCACCTTGTGAGGTGGTGGTGAGGGCAGAGTCTGGTATACAGCAGGCACTCAGTGCATGCTCTGACCCTCCCACCGGCATGCAACACGATTGTCAACTTCTGTCCCTGTTCCCAGGGCCTGGGCTGGAGAGGCCCCGTTTCTCCAACCCTGAGGGTGAGCATTGGGGGCCCGTGTGGGGGCGGCGGGGCATGGGCTCTGCATCTCGGCCCCCTCCCCTCTGCCAGCCTCCCAGCTGCTGCTCTGCATGGACGGGTCATTTGTGCTGAGCCTGGTGGGTGCCACACCTGCCTGGAAGACTGAAGTCAGGGCCATGGGGGAACCCAGGGGCCCCACTCCACCCCCCAGCCACGAACCCAGGCAGAATTCACACAGTTCAGCAGCCTACCCAGCCCTCTGTTGCTGCCTGCCTCTCTGACCACCCACCTTCAGCCCATCACCAGTCCCTGGCCTCCTGAGTCCCCCCTCCTTCCAACCCCCCTGCCTGGCTCAGGGGTGCCGGAACTGCCCAGACTTGGGCACCAAGGCTCCCGGCCTCCCTCATCCCCTGAGCCACTGGCTGAGTGGTTCCAAGTGCAATCTGGGCAGGACCCTCCCCCTGGCACCTTTGCCAGCCCCACACTGCCAGCAGAACCAAGCCCACAACTGAGCTGGGAAGAGAAAGCCCCAGCCAATGCCCAGCTGGCTTCCCCAGCCCTTTCCCCAGCTCTGCCCAGAACGATGACTCAATCCTTCCAGGTGCTGCTCACACCCGCTGTGGGTTACATGGTCTTCTGGGTGGAATTCCCTTCCCCTCCATGCCCAAATCTTAACCTCCTTCCAAGGTCCAGTTCCAGTGCCTCCCGCTCCAGGCAGCCTTCGCAGACCCCCAGCCAGAAGGGAGTCCTTGCTGCCCTAACCCCTCAGTCCCAGATCTGACCCAGATCTTGACACTCTACCTGGGTAGCCCACAGGTGGGAACTTCCACACAGGCCCAAAGTCCCCTTAGATGGACGGGTCCAGCTCTGGTCTCTCCTTCACTTTCCACAGCCCTGTGCCGGGCCCTGTGCCTCCTGCCACCCTGGTGCCTCTCAACTTGCCCATGGCTGGGTCTGTGTTGTCTCCGTGTTCCCAGCACCTGGCCCCGTGTGGGCACTGAGCAGGCTCAATAATGCTGACTGCTGGAGAACCCAGAGCTAAACTCCAGTGAGCGGGATCTCACCACCTGTCCTAGCAACCGACAGAGCAGGGCCCCGGGTCCAGTTGCAGGACACGGTCGTCACACAGCCTTGTGCCCAGTACCCTGCAAGCAGCTGCATGCCTCTCCTGTGCCGGCTGCTGTCCCTGTTGTTGGGGGCTGAGGGGACTTCCCATAGATTGAAGGTCAGCGGCCAAGTCAGGCCTGTTCCATGAACAACCATTGAGTGCCAACTGCATGCCCGGTCTTGTGCTTGGTCCTGCCCGTTTGCTCTGGGGCCTACCTCTTTACCTACCAACTGGCTGAGGGGCTCACCTAGGTGGGGGTCCCTCCTGTTCCCTGGGATTTCCTCCATCCGGGGAGAAGACCAGGGTGTGGCCCACCAGTTTAGGAGCCCAGGGCAGAGACTTTGGTGGGCTGGCTGGCTGCCATCATGGGGGGAGGTGGGAGGGTCGCACAACTTTCTGGAAACTTCCTTCCTCTGAGAAGAACTGAGGGGAGAGTGGTATCCAGCATCCCTTCCTCCCCAGCAAGATCCAAGTCTGCAAAGAGCCACCCCGTCCGAGCTCTGGACACGAGGCCCCTGCCTTCCCCGCCTCGCCCCACGGCCCAGCCTCTCCT